TTTTCTTTTCTTTCTTTTTTTTTCTTTATTTTGTCACGCGAATGTCGTTTGCGGTGTTGTATCCTTGCGCCTGTCAGATAGAGATGGGTTACACGGCGGACGTCTGCCAAGTGCCAAAACTTAGAGCATAAAACTTGTGCATTTCAGCCGTTGAAAATAATTAGCCCTCGATTTTTAGTCTTCCTGAGCGCTTATTCTGTACATTTGGGCTTTTTTTTTTTTTAATGGTGATAGGCGTGGTTTGGGTTTTTTATTTTGGTTTGGGTTTTTTTTTGTAATTAGGAAAAGAAAGCATTTGCTTAAGAGAGTTACTGACACGCTGAAATACTAATGTTGACCACATAGGTTATGTTGCAGTACCAGCAGGTCGTGCTTCACTGATGTGAGAAGCATGGGCTGCAGCTCTAGTGACTGAAGTAAAACTTGCCTAAAATTTCCACGTCCTCGCTAGAGATGAGGAACATCCCTGTTCAAAAAATCTGCTCACGCAAGACAAAACCTTAATCACAGGATAACTATTACTTGCGTATGTATCATGTTCTCTTATTAAAAAAAAAAAAAAAAAAGTTTAAAAAAGTTTTGGTAATGCCATTTGCATGTGTAAGAGATCCCGGTTTCTGTTAGGTGAATTGAGGTTAGATTTTATATCTTGGTATATTTTGCTTCCCTGAGGCAGGATGTTCTAACCTCTGAGAAAAGGAAAAATTGGGGAAGGAAGGAGATGCCGGAAAACCATTCTGCATGTTTTTGAGGACTTAGTATGGAAACGCTGAGTGTATGTTTGAGTGTCATCGTGAAACTCAAAACCATCTGCTTAAAAATAGGTTTCTAGAACCATTCTTGAAACTTTAAACACTTTTGTGTGCTGTTCTTTCTTACAAACTGTGGGAACAATCCTTGAGGTGCAGTGCAAGGTCTAACATACCTTCAGTGGTAGCATTTTAAATGGGAAGCTCTAGCTGCTCCAATTGTTGCATGTCATCTTCAACGTTCTCTTCTGACTTTTTCTTCTTCTCTGCAGTAAATATTTAATGAAGATTATATTTCTGGGTTTTAAAAATAAACAGCAGGTATTTTACAGAAATAAGGAGGAATTCATCTAGACATCTTGGGTATTGTAACCCTAATTCTGCAGCCCTAGGGATTTAAGTGGTCTCACGTTTTCAGCAAAAATAGCTCAGCAGTATTGGATGAAACTTGCCAATGCTTAGGGTCCGGCCCTGTGTATTTGGAGCACTTCTGCACCAACTGTCGAGTACGATAGTGATTATGAAGTAACTCGGCATCTGATTTCTGCACTGGTTTGTGCTTTCTTTCTCTCCCACTCTCAGTCATTCACTAAAAATATAAATGTTGTTGTGCAGAAAATGTCCAGGGAAACAATCTGTTAATTTCCCCTCTTAATTTTACAATTAATTTTGGAACTTTTGAGATGGGGGGGTGTATTTGTTCAGTTAGTTCTTTTTAATTACTGATAAGTTTAAAGGGAAGAATTGTCAACACGCATCAAATTATATTTAGCCACTTTTTTCCCTAGATCAGGACTTGCATTCTGTTCCTGCGGGACCGACTGGAACAGAAGTGATCCACTGGAGTCACGAGCCCTCTTGTCAGCTACCGGCTTCAGGGAATCTGTCGTTGATCGGCTTCGTGCGTTACAAAATGGTGTTGCAGGGCGGAAGGAATGATGTGGGAAGGCTTTGTTTTGCCACTCTCGCTGTTGAAAATATTTATGGTTTGTGTTTCTTCCTTGCAGAGATTCTGAAGGACCTGGATGATTACTATGAAAAATTTAAACGAGAGACAGACGCCGTGCAGAAGAGAAGAATGTTGCACTGCATACAGAGAGCCTTGATTCGGAGTCAGGAGCTGGGGGACGAGAAGATCCAAATCGTCAGTCAGATGGTGGAGCTGGTTGAGAACAGAACCAGGCAAGTGGACAGCCACGTGGAGCTGTTTGAGACTTGTCAAGAGGCTAACGATACCACTGGAAACAGCGGGAAAGCCAGCCAGGACAAGTCAAAGAATGAGACAATCGCACAGGCTGAAAAGCCCAACAATAAGAGATCGAGGCGGCAAAGGAATAATGAGAATCGAGAAAACGCTTCAAATAATCATGATCACGATGACATCACCTCAGGAACTCCAAAGGAGAAGAAAGCGAAAACGTCCAAGAAGAAGAAACGATCCAAGGCTAAAGCGGAGCGGGAGGCTTCTCCCCCCGACCTTCCTATTGACCCTAACGAGCCAACCTACTGCTTGTGCAACCAAGTCTCCTATGGAGAAATGATAGGATGCGATAACGACGAGTGCCCCATTGAGTGGTTTCACTTTTCCTGCGTCGGACTCAATCACAAACCAAAGGGCAAATGGTACTGCCCCAAATGTAGAGGAGAAAACGAGAAAACTATGGACAAGGCGTTGGAGAAGTCTAAAAAAGAAAGGGCCTACAACAGGTAGTTTGTGGACTTTTCACAGCAGAGAAAAATAAAACCACCAAACCAGTGTATTTATTGTCAGTGTCACCTTTGTTGAGGTGAAAGGATTGTAAAATGTATATTTTTAAAGGAGGTTTAAAACTGAACCAACCATTCCTGTTATAGGGACGGCAATAAGCAATTTTGGTTTTCGTTTGGTAAACTGTAACAAGAATGTGGTCTGTGGACCAATGTATTCCAAAAGTAAAGTTATAAGAGTTTAAACTGAATATTCGGGTGGATCTGAAAAGATAAATTAATACTTTTTTTTTTTCTTTTTCGTCAGTGCTGGTAGCACTCTACCCATTAAAATTTCGATGACAAATATCTCTGAAATGTAATTTCGTTTTCTTTAATGAAAAATGTTATTTACCTTTTCAGCAAAATTGTTAAATAGTTTAGCCACCTGGTTGTATCTGAATAAAGCTGCAATACATTACAAATGTAACTTCTTTTGGTGATAAGCAGTGCAAGAGGAAACAAAAGGAGGGTAAAATTTGGTTCCTGCTACAAAGTGTCAGTATAACAGTTCAACAGCAAATGTTTAAATAGGCTTAGAGGATTATTTTTAAAAAAAAACCCCAAAACAGTTAATGGTTAAATTTTACACAACAAATATTTTATACCCTGGCCAAGTACCATGAGGGCCATTTTAAAATGATTAAATATGTTTTATATTTAACCAGGAAGTGGTTTAGTAACGAGACTTAACATAAATGAAGCTTTATACTGTCACAGATAGTAGTGTAGCAATCCTTAATTTGTTTTAAGTTGTATAAATGTACATTTTTAAGTGGAGTTGCACTTACTGTATTATACTTGGAAATGCAGCCAAATGCCATTGTGTAACCAATGTGCGTTTCCTGCAGTATGTATGAAAATTGTACAGCTGTGATATTAAGAAATAAATGAAACAACTTTGACAGTTTGCTGCTTTAGCAATCATGTTTAATGATCATTCACATAGCTTAAAAAAAAAAAAATGCTTGCCTTTAACCTCGGCAGCTCCAGCAAGCTGCTGCAAGGAAGCCTGAAACTGTTGTAGTGGTAACCAAATTACAGTTCTGGTAATGAATCTTCACCGGCCGTGTGGCCAGCAGGGTCGTAGGAGAGCCAAAACGGCATTTAACTTTCCACCCAACTCTGCTCTTTCCGTGCTTGCAGTCACACCCGGACGTTTACCTAAAGATCGATAGTATCGAGCTGGTCTTGTTCGGTTGTTTTCATGCTGTTATGCCACGGATATAAATTATTCTGTGTTATCAGCAGAAAAATCTTTTGCATTCCAGCATTCTCAAAGTATTGTCGCAGCAGCAGCCCTGCCAGCGTTGTTCTTCGAGGTCGCCTCACACGAAAACAGAGTAGCCACGGCCGAGGTGCTGTGCGTTAAGAGTAGGTATCCGGGTCCTCTCTCGCTTGGCTGCGCAGGGGAGCTTGGCCGGACTGTTCCCTTCACCTGCGCGGCTGGAAGGACCGGCGTTCTGGCTGAGCTGATTTCGTCGCCTCGTCCCCCCGCGGGCCTTCGCTGCGAGTGCGGAGGGGACGGGACCAGCAGAAGGAAGGCCATGGAAGCGAAGGTGGTGAAATCCAGTGGGTGTGACAAGAGTCTTGTAAGAATACAGGAGGCTGGGGGTTGGGGTTTTTTTTTTGGAAGACAGCCATTCTCTTAAAATCTATAATTGTGTTGTTTTTCTTCCTGGACAGTGAAGCCGTACCGCTGAAGCGATGCTGTTTTTCCTCGAGGTATTCCAGCAGGTCTTTCTGTTGGAAGTAAGGGAGACAAGGGTTTGGATCCAGCTGAACAAAGGCAGTTGAAGGGGCTCAGTGTTTTCTAAAGATGTACTGAAAAGCCCGAAGGTGCTCTGCATCACGTCGCATGGGTGTTCCCTGCCAGGCCGACACACTCGCAGTGACAAGCAGAAGTCCTCTTTTCCTTTTAAGTAGGTGCACGAGGTGCGTGTGCGTGTGCGTTACGTGCTTCCAGTCGCTACAGGCTGTCACGTTCTACTGAGCCGTCTTTGCAAACATCTGCTCCGAATCACGTCTCCTGCTCCTGAGGTGGTTTAGGGTTGGTGTGTAGTTGCTCTATTCTCTTCCCCTTTTCCTCTTCTCTCTAAAGCCTTTTGGTTTTCCATTCTCCCTACGCACTTATCGGTCTTTCCCGCTCCTCCCTCCACTTGCTGTTGTTGTGGCTAATCCCGACGTTTCTGGTCTTTTCTGCCTCAGCCCTTCTGTTATCCTCCCACCAGCCTACGCTGAGAACATCGATACTTAGCAGGGTTGTACTAGCGAGACCCCAGTGCAACTTCCCGTAGGAGCCTAGTGCAGACACAGTTTCAAACCAAGCCTTTTTCGTGAAGTGTCTCCGTTGGTTCTGCAGGGCATTTTGAATGTGGAAAGCCGGAAGAAAACAACCAAGCTGCAAAGGAGCGTGGTGAGAAAGTTCAGCTAAAGGTGAATTGGTAGAGCAGTGTTTTTACTGCCCTTGAATGAATATATTTCCAGCTACTGAAGGCTGGCTGTGGTCTCCTGTATTTCAGTCTTTTGCAAAAGGCAGCTGCTGATCCGCAAAGCAGCTTGGAGCGACATCCCTTTCCACATTTTTCCAAGACTTGCGTGGTTTTCCCAACGCACCCTGTCACAGGCTGCAACGTTTGTTCTGCCGCTTGACCCCAAGGATCGACTGGACCAGCGCGGTGCTGTTTGGCAGGTCTGGTTTCAGCCGATGGGCACAATTAATTACTTCAGTTAGGTGTGAGGGACTCTGCTGTGGCACTAAGCTCTTTGTTGATGGAAGTGGAGCCATCTCATGTTATACTGACACACTGCCAAGCGCCGCGTACTGTGCAAACTTTGTTCTGGCTTTGGTATCTTGTCTAAAGTGCTGGCTTCACAAAGTATCTTTACAAATCCTCCTTTCTTAGTTGTTCGGAGTGCATTTAATGGTCACAAGAGGCTGCCGTCTTTGGAGACAATTTTTGTTATTTCTGTGTGATAGATTAGCTGATTTGCAAGCCTCCTTATACTGCCCAACAAGGTGACAGTGCTGTCATTCGGGGAGATCATCTGCAGGTTTGAGAAAACACCTGAATTTCTCGGTGACCCTTTCCTGCAGAGGCTGCCAACAAAAGGCTTGAGCGAGAGGGAGGCTCTTCTAGGAGCTGAGCGAAGGCTTCCGACTCGTTTCCCACAGGCCGGTGAGCGGCTATCAGGTATGGTAGCGCTGATACAGCCTATAAAAAATCAGGAGGTCTTTGTTGAGGAGAAAGTCACGGCAGCAGGCATCGCAACCTTCTTAAACTTCTCCTTGAAAACATGCTGGCGGCTGTAATCGCTGCTGATCTGTGATAGGTGTCACAGGCCATAAGTCCGTGTTGTGTTGCTGAACCCTTGACCTGACGATAAAGTCCTTCTGAGCACTGAAAAGCACCATTTCGGCGCTGAAGTCAAGGGAGCTGGCAGCAGGCCTTGCACCTGAGTCGTCCCCGTCCTCAGGCGGCACATTTGTCCTGCGGCAGCGCCGCTGGCAGCGAAGAGCTGGTGCTGAAGGCGCAAGTCGGGAGGTAAAAGCCAGCAGCGAGGGAGCCCTTTGGGTGCTACGTTAACTCCAATTGCAAAATATTCCCGGCGGGGCGGAGAGAGAGAACCACCGTGAGCCTGAAACAGCAGAGCAAAGCGTGCATTTCAACCGTTGTACCACCTGAAAGCATCCCAATTAAGCAGAACTACTGTCTCCATTAAGCAGCAGCAACCCTGGCCATGTGTATCATTAGTTTTAAATAGGTTTCTTACTAATTAAGCACAGTTGCTGATTAACTGTGTCCTAATTTTGTGGAGCGTGCAAAATAAATACAATTGAATCGGACTGCTCTGCCAGTCTAATTTTTTGGTAGGGTATTTTTAGTTAATCTTTTAAATTGTAGTAACGAGGAAAGGAGAGAGACAAAATATTGTAAACTGTTCCACAGAACATGATACAAAGAAAGTTCTCTGTAATAGAAATGCTTCAAAACATGTTTGAATATCCTTGAAGCGCATTCTGTTGCTTTGGTTAGACTTTTTATCATCCTCACGGCCTATTTGTGTACATAAAAAAAAAAAACCCAACGCCTTGTGCTAGCCATAGCTCAAAGGAGCTAATAATTTCTTGCTTCTGAGTATCAAAAGTAGCATGAACATTCAATGTAATGTCAAAAAATAATCAAGCTAATAATGCTTCGTGCAGCTTCTGACTTTCCCAGGTGTTACTGAAATCCCAGATGTAACAAGTGGGAGGAACGATGCAGTAAGGAAGAGCCCCGGAGCAAACGGAGTACGTATAGAAGTGCTGAGAGGCAGTATTAAGGTTTTCTCCTGAGCTCAGGACGCCTAGGTTTTGCTTTTCACAGTGAGCGTTTACTGTTGTTGGTAGTCACAAAGAGGAACGATGCAGTAAGGAAGAGCCCCAGAGCAAACGGAGTACGTATAGGAAGTGCTGAGAAGCAGCATTAAGGTTTTTTCCTGAGCTCAGGACGCCTAGGTTTGCTTTTCGCAGTGAGCGTTTACTGTTGTTGGTAGTCACAAGTAGCTAACGCACCTCTGTCCCCCTCACAGCGGGGGAGCAGCGTTAGGGGCCGGGACAGGAGTGTGGAGGGCTGGCGGCTCTCCCCAGTGACAGGCTTCTGGTTGTCGGTGTGCGAAGCCCGATTACGGGGTTAAGTCGATCCTTCAGTTCGCTTTATAAACAGCTTCACCAATGGTGGTGGTTGCCATCCCTCGCCCCTGCGGGTGTTACTGGCCCCTCTGCAGGACCTCACCGCTTTTGCAGCAATGCTGGAAGAAAACAAAAGGTGGTTGATACCGAACATTTAAAACCAGGTACCAGCATTTCAATTTCCCCCTCTGACTTGAGAAGCGTAAGTAAACATTGTGGCTGAGCTTCATTGAGAAGGACTGCCGGCTTTGCTGTCCTCTCCAAAACGCCTTGGTAGTTCAGCTGGCCATTTTTAAAGACTTTGCACGCTATCCGTCTAACATAAGGTCATGGATTCTCAGGTGCTGCAGTAACGAGGAGTGGGGAAGTGATCCTGGTCAGATGGATGAACGTTTTGTAGAAGTCAAAATTCCCTTGCAGTTGTTGGGGTGAAAGTCTAACCGCCATCCAGAGTTGAGGAAACTAGTGAAGCAAAAAATGTGTCTGAAATTGTGGAATTCCTTCCGATACAGTAATTCGAGTTTCTGTATGACTGTGCTGCATGCACCGTGCCACCAGTGCACTGATGCTATCCCCACAAAAAAATTTCAAGGCAATTCCTCACATTGCTTATCAAATGTAGCCCTGTGGATATTGACAGTAACATTCATTTTTAAGCTGCTTTAAGTTGTTCCTTTTATTTTCCAATAGCTTACTTGAATAAGTCAGCCTTTCTATATGGCCATCAGCTGAGACTGGGGGCTGGAAGAGACTCTGTGATGCAGGCAGTAGGTGACTTTGTGCTTGTGGGACGTCAGTTGTCCGTGCAGGCGCTGGCTGAACTGGGCCTGAACTTCTGCTTCACGCTTTGGGGAAAGGATCATGATGCAAAGAAAATGGAGTGATCTCTTGCATTTGGATTGCTGACAAGTTAGGCAAGGCCCTAAGAGATTGACCTATCTCGGGCTGGTAACTCAGCATCAAAAAAAAAAAAAAAAAGTACGTAAAATAACCTGGATCTCTTTAAGTAAATATTGTAAAACTTGGGTAAGACAGATACAGTTAGCTTTATACTTTCACTTTGTGGAAGAATTAATGTAATTTAAATTACTGTTGTCCCCTCAGTGCTATACAACCTGAACTCCCTCATCGTACAACACACTTTGCTAGTATAATTTTTTTTTTTTCAAAATAAATCAAACCTGAAAAAAAAAGGGTTTAGTGATAAGGATGAGAAACCCAAGTGAATTG